AACATGAAAAATAAATCTCTATTATAACAGTTTATATATACATTAACTATTTAATCATTAATAAAAATAATTATTGAGCCATCAGTATCTTAAGATGTTGAACATAATCTTTTAATTTTTTTGAGGGGGGGTATCATCCACATTATACTAAAAAATCTGCACAGATAATTCATTGAATTATTTGCTTACCTAGCAAAGAAGATTATATTCATTCCACAAGTAGCAAACTTCAGCTTATTATAAAAAGGAGTCATTAAAAAATTAATGATTTTATAAACTTTATGCAAGGGTATGAAGAATAGCAATCTCTAGAATATGAAATGTTCATTTTTAGCCTCCAAACCACATTCAAATAACATTTCCTTAGAAGGGAAAAATCATTCAAAGTAGAGCAAAACTTTAGAGGGAAGGTATATAACACACCTTTAAATGGTGATTGCAGTAGATGTTTCCTCTCTCATCACAGGGATATGAAAAAACTTGAATGTTCTTTCCTTCCTCATTCCCTTCTCATAGGCTTCTTAATCTCCAAACCAAAAAAACCAAACCCATTGCCACCGAGTTGACTTCAACTCAGAGTGACCCTATAGGATAGAGTAGAACTGTCCCATAGGATTTCCAAGTCTGTAAAATCTTTGCAGAACTCGATCATCTCATTTTTCTCCCATGAAATAGCTGGTGGGTTTGAAGCATCAACTTTTTCATTAGCAGCTGAATACTTTAAACACTGTGCCACATTTTGCTGGAAATAACCAGCCTTAATAAATATTTATTGAATGAATAAAAGGATATATGGACTTTTATTCTAATGAAAAGAGATACTTCTATCTCTTCTCTTCTTGGATCATTGCTACACAGATTCTAAAGTGTTATTCAAGAGGTGAAAATGCAATAATGAAGAAATTATACATACTAAAAAGAAATGCTACTTTTTTTAAAAAAAAAAAAAAATAAGTCTCAAAAACATTATCCAAATATGGAACTGGAGGGAGATTTGTTTCCAGTAGCAAGGAGGAATTGGACCAAATAATCCACACTTGTGCTGGAGATTCCTCTAACCATTTTCCTTGAGTAGTTTTCTTCATTTTCATCCACCAGCATACAGGCCTCAGACAAACTACTACTCTCCTCAATACTGGTTGCTGCTGCTCTGTGGTGCATTTTGAGACAAGACCAGAGGGTTCTAACATGAGTGTATTAAAGTCTATGGGATGGCAAAAGGGAAACAAATGTGGAGGGAGAGAGAGAGAGAGAGAGAGAGAGCAGAAGCTAAAGTGAACATTGTATTCTCTTGTGACTAACTGTGGAAGTCATAGAGGATCACTTTTGTCATACTTTGCTCTTTGGAGAAGTCCCTTACCTTTGCATCTGACAGGATGCATAAGTAAGGAATGTATGTCTCATCTCCTGATGGAGGGAGTGCTAGTCACATTGTATTCAGAACATATGGGATACAAGGTATGTATGTGTGTGTGTGTGTTGGTATGACTGTATTTGGAAAATATGATCATGCACACATACATACACACATTGTATAGTTGTTATAGACATCATATAGCATTAGGAAACATTCAATATCATTTCTTTCACTCTGTGTTTGCCCCATATGCATTAATTCTCATTCTCCTTGATTTCTTTCTTTTATTGAAGGAAAATATGATTTTTTTTTTTAATTTTGAGAGACACATGATATAAGAGATTAAAATGATGTTATTTTTGGTCTGTAAATCTCTATTCTCAAATGAGGAAGTTATGCAAATTTCTTTCCACTCTTCTGTAACTTTAATATTCTAGAAATCAATAAATGTAATCATTTATGCAAACAATATGGCTATTTTACAGTTTCTTCTAATGTATCAAAACAATCTGAAGACTATAGCCTCCAGGTGAATCCTGTATATTACTGAGGGAGAAGGAACAGATACAGGAATGGCAAATTCGCCCAATTCCTCCTCATCAACCATATTTCAACACTAAAAAGAAGTCTCTTTATGTGTGTATAAAGACAAAGTCATCCACTTTTAAAGCAGAATATTGCTAAGAAAATTACTCAAAAAGAAGCTGGAATCTATAGATCTAAAGTCCAATAAACAACTGCAGGATGTGCGAGATGTAGCTTAGCAACCACATGCATGTTGGGGAAAACAAAACAAAATAAAACACCACTTATGGGTTTTGGTTAATGATGAACTAAAAAAAGGTCACAATATAACAAATGATGAGAAGTAAACTAATGTAATTCTAAGCTGCATTAAGATGAGAGAGAATCCAGGTATATAATAGCACTGAAAAATAAAATAAAATAAAATAAAAGACTATTACCAATAACCTGACCTGAAACCAAACCAAACGCACTGCCGTCGAGTGGGACCCAACTCATAGCAACCCCTCCTTGGATTTCCAGGGCAGTATCACTATGGAAGTAGATTGCCCAACCTTCCTTCCGAGGAGTGCCTGGTGGGTTTGAACCGCTAGCCTTCTTGTTAGTGGTCACGTGCCTTAGGCATTATGCTACCAGAGCTCCAATAACCTGAAAGCACCTTTCATATCTCTTTTCAGTCACTAGTTTCTAACCCTAAACAAGAGTAACTGCAGTCTAATTTGCAATACCATAGATTAATTTTTCTTGTTTTGAACTTCATATAAATGGAAGTATAAAATATGTATTCTTTTGTATCTGGCTTCTTTTGCACCGTAATAGGTTTATGACATTTATTTACAATGCATGTAGTTGTGTGTCATTAACTTTCATAGGTATATAGAATTCTATTTTTTACACATGTGTAGTCGATTGACACGTAGGTTGTCTTCAGTTTTTGGCTATTATGTGTAATACCGCTGTGGACATTTTGACTTTTTGTTTTTTTGATGTTTATTTCTGTTGGCTATACATCTAGGAATAAAATTTCTGGGCCAGCGTTATTTATATGGTCAATTTTGTGAAATACTGCCAAACAACCAATAAATACCAATGTACAATAATATGTAACAGTGCATTGTACTAGTGTTTATTCCTGTACCAATGTAGTTCCTCCACCATTATTTTTCCCTACAATCAATTTACAGGCAGATATCCAGGGTTTGTAGATTTTTGCTTTAGGCTTTGAGATAATTAGAACTCAGAAGCAGCTTGCATTCAATGATCAATCCTTTTTTGAAGCCAAAGTCTACTGAAGGATAATATTGCTTGACTAGGAAGGGTGACTTCATTTACAGAACACTTTGAAGGCAATAAAGGTGGTAAACAGAGAGAGAATCCCTTAGTTGGAAAAGAGAAAAGAGGTAAGTGAATCTAGGAGACAGAGCACCTGAACACTGCTTATGTTCTATCTCGTAAGTTGACTACATAATTTATTACCCAAATCCAGACAGTTTTGAGAGTGAGAAAGGGTGCTAATAATAATTATGCAGGGTTAATGCATGTAAATCAGTACAGTTCCTGGCAAACTGATATTATTTTAGGAAGCCTCAGTAGGAACTTGCAAGTGCAGATGCTCATGTATCTTTGAGTGTTCTTTAGAATATTCATGTAGCAGATCATATGGAGAGCAGCTTTGTCAGCTGGGGAATGGTAGGATTAAAACCTTCAGGTACACCTTCTTTTTACCTTCAGCATGCACATGTGTGGAATAGCATCTTGCAGATGTATGTTTGCGCTCACTTGTATGTGTGTGGTGATATTTTAATTTCTTCATATATAACAAAGACCTGTTTGTGGCATTTAGTAGGCTTAAGAATAGATAAGTGGTGTTTGTGATGTTAGTGGTGAATGCCACCATTATTATGAGCAGAACAGTTCATGAAGTTAGAAGTCTTTTGGCTGAGGTGCTCTCAGGTATCCTGTGAGAGAACACTGTGGTCCCTATCCCCCTTATCTGACTTTTTTTTTTTTTTTTTTTTTGCTCCTACTCTCAACATAAAATTTAGGCTTCAAGACTCAGTATAAGAGAGGACAAATGAGTCCTCAAACTCAGTACTGAAAGATATGAAATCCATGGAGTATAAAGAAAAGTTGAGTAGAAAACATAAGTCCCAAGATCCTAGGTAAGCATCATAATCCAAGTGTAAACAAAATCGTGCCATTTCTTCCCTATGGAGAATGATCTCTAAGAAATTCTCTGAGGAAACTGTCTAATTGAGTCCCTGAGATAATCAGGCAGCATGAAGTTCTCCATGATCTGCCAGCTGGGGTCTGGTGAAAATAAGGGTTGCTATTTTCTTCTGAAATTGGAGGAGACCATATGGGAAAATCCACAAATAGAAATCTTGGTCTATTCCTAGTGTGCCTTGGAGAGTGGGGTCTGTAAAAGCTTTGATTCCCAGCATCACTGGAATCAGAAGAGTTTATATTCAATTCTTTCTGTTTCATGCATTAGCAGAACCATGTTCTCTTCCTGGCTAACAGAAAAAGAGAACGCATGAGACTGAGCACTGAGGGGGCCAGGAGAATGAAAATGAATATCTAAATCCCTTCTTTTCTGATGGTTTTCTTTATCACTCATGACAAAAGCTCTGGGAAATATTGACCCCTTCCCTACATTCAATGCTAATCCTGAGGTGAGGTTGAATGATGATGCATACAGAAGGGTCTGAAATGTGCAGAAACAGTACAGGACATTCTCCACTTTCTCTCCAGAGTGGGTAACTTGTTGGCAGAGCAACCAGAGAATGGGGCAATAAAAAGGGAATTTTGAGAGTCTCAATCTCTCAAAGCCTGGGGTTGCTCCTCAGGAAGTGAGTCCAGGTTATACTTCTATATCCTTGAGTGTCTTTCTGGGAGCCCTTGCAAAGGTGATTCAGAGATTCTGTCTCCTTATTGCTGCCCATTCTAACAGACTATGTCTATAGGAGCTGAGGTATTATCACAGACACATGGTCAATGCCCTGAAGGAAGAAAAGAAAAGAAGTATGGACATTCATGCACTGGCTTCCTATGCCTTCTCCTAGCAGCCATCCTTGTGTCCAACATCACTCTGTGTGTTTTCTCCCATATACCACAGATGACTTCCCAGAAGAGAGTGACTCAGAGAAATAGCTCCTCAGTGACTGAGTTTATCCTTTTGGGATTTTCAGAACAATCAGAGTTCCAGCTCCCTCTCTTCTTTATATTCTTAGGGACCTATGTGTTCACTGTGGTGGGAAACTTGGGGTTGATCAGTCTAATTGGGCTGAATTCTAGCCTTCACATCCCAATGTACTTTTTCATCTTCAATTTGTCCTTTATAGATCTCTGCTATTCCTGTGTCTTTACCCCAAAAATGCTGAATGATTTGGTATCAGAAAATAGCATCTCTTATGTGGGATGCATGACTCAACTATTTTTTTTCTGCTTCTTTGTCAATTCTGAGTGCTATGTGTTGGTATCGATGGCCTATGATCGTTATGTGGCCATCTGTAACCCCCTTCTGTATATGGTCACTATGTCCCCTCAAGTGTGTTCCATGCTGATGTTTGGTTCATATGTGATTGGTTTTGCTGGTGCCATGGCACACACTGGAAGCATATTGAGACTTAACTTTTGTGATTCCAACATTATCAACCATTATCTCTGTGAAGTTCTCCCTCTCTTGCAGCTCTCCTGCATCAGCACCCATGTCAATGAGCTAGTGTTTTTTATTGTTGTTGGAATTGTCATCATGATATCCAGTGTCAGCATTTTCATATCTTATGCTTTCATTCTCTCCAACATCCTCCGTATTCCCTCTGCTAAGGGCAGATCTAAAGCCTTTAGCACATGTGGCTCCCACATAATTGCTGTTACTCTGTTTTTTGGGTCAGGAGCATTCACTTATTTAACAACTTCTTTTCCTGGATCTATGGACCAGGGTAAATTTGCCTCAGTCTTCTACACCAATGTGGTTCCAATGCTCAACCCTTTGATCTACAGTTTGAGGAATAAGGATATTAAACTTGCCCTTAGCAAAACTCTGAAGAGAGTGCTCTCCTAATGATTTTGCTTTATTTGTTGGCAACTGATTCCTGGTAAACACCATACTCAAGTACCTTTTTATTTACAGGTGAAGGCACTAATCTTTCAAACAGTGTCTATTTCTAAAAATTGGAAAATTTTGTCTATCCTATTTTTATGGACTATGCCATTTTGTACCATTTAAATGGTTCACTGCATGAAATCTAGCATCTCTTAAGTGCCTATTGTTTACCAAACTCTGTACTAGGCTCAAAGGATGAGTAAGCTGAAGCTATATGTCTTCTATCCTTTTCTTGGAAGGCTGACTGGGTTTGTCCAAGCAAAAATCCATCTGTGGCTGGGAAATGGGGAAGGCAGTAGTATGAGGGTACAAGACAGTGAATTTATTTATTTATTCAATTATAGCAGCAGTCTTAACAAAGGTCAAATGAAAGAGAGAGAGACAGAGAGAGAGAAAGACATAGAGAGAGAGAGAGAGAGAAAGAGAGAGAGAGAGAGGAAGAGAGAGAGAGAGACAATTAACTATTAGAGAATCAAGAAGAAGAGGAATCATATCACATTTCTCACTCTCAGGGTGACCTGGAATCAATCTGGATTTTGAGTCCCAAAGACTACTCTGTAGTGCTCTGTTGAGGACTCTGCTCTTCTATATTGAACAGCTCAGAATTTGGGGAATACTTTCTCGTAAACTGCTCTGAGGCTAGGGAGGAAGATGGACCTAGAGCAAGTCAACCCATGTGGAAAGATGGGAGGGTATAGGCTTCCAGTGTGGTCAGAGGAATGGGGCACTCTCTGAGTGAATGCTAGAAATTTGGGGATGTCTTTGAGGGGAACCTCTGTGAAGAATATTTAGTGCTTTTTTTTTGGATTAATGGAAAATCATAATAAAGTACTGACTCTCTATCTTTTGCTATGATTATATTTCCCTGACTCTTCTTCAAATCAGATAGTTTTATAGTGTGTGTGGTTGTGATGGATGAAGCAGTAAAAAGAACCAAGGCCTTCATCTGACTCATGTTTACTTTTCTGCGGACGTTGAGCAGAAGTGCAATCATCATGCCCAGGAGATAGGTATTCCAAGTGTTCCAGCTTATGGCCAGGACCAAGGTGGCCTGATGTGGAGCTGAGAGCAGCACAGAGGAGCAGCTGCAGCAAGGAATGGACTGGGGAGGAGATGTGAGACCAGCTTTACTTTCTCCAGATATGCTACAGGGAGGAGATCTTTGAAGAAGGTGAAATAATCTGATACCTGGATTATATTTAAATTGTGATAATAATGATAATTAACATTTATTGGGAAGAAAGCCTAGGTTATCTACTTCCAAAATAGCCAATGATAATCCTATGGATGACAGTTCTATTCTGACACACATGGGATCACAATGAATTACAACTGACTTTATGGAAACTGGTTTGGTTTTTGGTTTTAGCAATTCTTGAGCATGTACTATATGTCTGTGCACTGTTTGAGGTGCCCTACATATATTAACTCATTTATGGGATTAAATTAATGGCATACTGAACCTTGCGAGTCCGTCCTGTGAGGCTACAGGAATCCTATTCTCAAGTGGACTGTCTGTGTCAAGGCCCATGAAGATCCTGGGATATTAATATAGACTCAAGAATGAGGAAGGCCAAAACTGAACATGCTTTGATAAACAAGAGAAAAATATCAATTGGTAGAAATAAATAGGAACAAGTCAAGACCATAAGATCTGAATGGAAAGGAACATTTATGCAATAAATACATTGAAGTTCAAGGATAATTTTGCCTACATTTATTCCACATTGGCATTGGGGTGTGTAGAAGTGAAAGTGTAAGTTTGATTTAATGAGACACTGACTTGGATCTTTTGGAAGCCAGTCCATTTTTTATGTAGATCGGAAATGAAACTCAGAAGAACTTTTCCTGATTCTAGCAACAGACAGATAAGAGCTATCTAATAAGGCTCCTGCAGAAAATACATTTTATAAATTCTAAAGGCTTTCAGCTCTCTCTCCAAAACCATGGGTAGGTTATCTTACACATACTTTCAGGTTGTGTTGAAGAATTTTTTGTTCTCATTGGTCAGCAAATAGGAACAGATTTGGGAACTTCTGCCTTACAGTAACTGACAGACATGATCTGATGTGTTAGTGTCTGTGGTGGTTATATTTGTGTGTCAATTTGGCTGGGCCTGGTTGAGTGGCTGGGCAGCTGAATATAGTTATTCCCCCTGGTGAGATTGGTAATTAACTCCATGGTGGACTCCATTGCAGCAGCTGAGTAGCTACTTTCGGTGTGTGGTCTGCTTCTCATATATAAGAAACGGCTTTGGGAATGGTCTCCAGCTTATGGCATGCTTGAACCCTGCATGTAGCAGAATTGTTGTTTAGCAGCCTGCCATACTCCACCCATCCTGAGATTTTCAATGGACTTGAATCAACAGCCTGCTGTGTGGTTTGGTAACATTGGAACTGTGCCTTTTTTGTTGTTGTTGTTGCCCTTAGGCTTGTTAGTCTCAGCAGCCAGTTGCCTGAATGAAGAGATGCCTCTAGCTTCAGTGGGCTGGGAACAAGAGGCAGAGCTGAAGCCCAAGGTTGAGGAGCTTTCACCCAGCCCCTAGAGCCTGGCACTTTGAACTCAGACTTAAAGCCTCCAAACTGTAAGAGAATAAACTCCTGTTTGTCAAACCATCCCATTTGTGGTATTTCTGTTAGAGTGGTACGAGGTCACCAGAACAGTGTCAGATTTCATAAAGTGAATCTCACTGCCACAATACCACAATGATGTCACCTCATAACATTTTGATTTTCAGGAAGGCCATTATTTTTTTCCTCTTTGGTAAGCATTCTTAATACTGGAATTCACCTGGCTTCAGTACTTGGCTTACTTTTCTTCTCAGCTCTGCCTGAAGCATCTCCCCAACTCCGATGGTGTCAAGAACCACATATCTGAAGATGACTTCCAAACTCATAACCTTGGTCCTGATCTACAATGATATATATAGCCAGTTTTAAGTCAGAAACGTAAAAGTGTTACCAACACTGATGTCAAAAGTTAGGTGGTGATGTGTTTTTTCAATCCAAGGGAGAATAAATTGTTCTTGGTGGAGAGTAGAGGGATAAGTGACAGACAACAAGTAGTGGGAGTGAGAATCCAAGAGGAACTTTCCATGGAGCTTGACAGGGAAAGGCCAGAGGCTTTTATACTTTGTAGAACAGATGGGTGGATGTCTATGACTCAGTGCTAAGCCCCAACCTAAGTGTTAGAGAGATACATATTATCTTTCTTCCCCTTATACTTCTATAAATGAAATACATCATTTACTAATTGCTTCATTGCTAGTAATAAAAGACTCACTATAGTGGCTTAAACACATCAAGTTTTATTTTTCTCTAACATGAGAGCTGTCAAGAGGTAGGCAGTCCACAGCTGAAGTACGCAGTTGAGGGCTGATATGACAATGCTGAATCATCAAGGATGCAGCCTCTCTCTATCCTTCTTCTCTTCCATTTTAGCAGTGACTTCATTCTCACAGATGTGTCATTGTTTGCAGATGGCTGCTAGAGCTTCTGCGGTTTTGTCCACATTCCAACCAGCAGGAAAGAAAAAGAAGCAAGGAAAGCAAAAGGGTGCTTTCAAAATAGAGTGATTCCCACTGACGTCTCATTAGACACCTCTATAAGGAAGACTGGGAAATTTAACATTTTACTTCAGAACACTGCCACTGTAATAAAATAAAATAAAGTAAAAATAAGACTTTATTGCTAAGTAAAAAGGAGGAAACGGCCATTGGATATTCAAGTAGGAAACTACCAAAGAATAGGATTTGATTCTGTTCACTAGGAACAAGCAATTCTTTAGTGAACATTTTTTTTTTTTTTTAAGTCCTGATTTTTGCTTTCTTACTTACTCCACAATTTGAAAGGAGAATAGATTAATCTGAAAGATAAAATCTAAAAAGACTGACAGATTGGTTGTTCATGGAAATGTGCACAGTGTCTCTTCATCATTGACCTGCTGATACTGAAGCTCTTGGCAAAGTTGAGCTAGATCTGTGTATTGGGTTCCAAAGTCTTCTCCTGTCCTGGTAACCAATTGGTAAGTTAAGATCTAGGTTCTGGGAGGGAGATTTGAGTCCTGATGCATTTTCCTTTTTTGAATTGCTATTAATAAAGAGGCCATGATTTGGTATTCTGATTCCCTTTTGGCTCTTTGTCCTTGTGCTCACTAGCTAGGTCCCATGGGGGAGTTAGAGTGAGTGGTGAATATTGCTAAATTTCCCACATACATCAAATGCAACTCAAATAGGGCAGTGGACAGAGGGGTTTATGATCAAAGTGAAAGCTAATTGGGATAGTTGACAGGAAAGATTAGGCTAGGGCAGCAATAATTTCACAGAAAAGCATGATGAGATCATCTCTCAAGACTCTCTTATTCATTTATTGACTCGACAGACATTCACTAAATTCTTACAAAGTGACAGTTACAGGGTTCAAGATTTCACTTCATTTGATCATTAGTATGCTAGTTGTCTTTTGTTTCCACTAACATGCAATCACATGCCTTCATTGAAAAAATAAATTGAGATGGGATTATTATTGCTTTCTTAAAGAGAATCCTATTTAGAACATGTTCTTAATTAGAACAACTTTACATCACTTTGAAGGTGAAACAAGAATACCTAAATGCTGAAATACAAAAGAGAAAAGAATAAGCATATTTAACAGTGCTAGGAGGAGCTCTGTAGCATAATGGCTAAAGCACTTGACTGCTAACCAGAAGGCTGGCGGTTCAAACCTACCAGCCACTCCTTGGAAGGAAGGTTGGGCAATCCTACTTCCGTAGTGATACTGCCTCAGAAACCCAAGGAGGGGTCGCTATGAGTCGGGGCCGACTCGACGGCACATAACAACAACAACAACAACAACAACAACAACAACAGTGCTAGGTAAACACTGATGAAGGATTTATTACTGGCTAAACTTGGGTGGCAGATAAGAGGGACTGGAAGGGACAGGGAAAGGAAATGAATTAATTGTACCACTGACTGATTTAGGAAAATAAG